CCTATCATGAAAACGTGATCAAATTAAAATGAGAGATTATATGGACAGGCGGGTTACCTCACCTACCTGGGGTCCCCCACCTCCATGTAAACAGGCCCTTAGACTTCTCGTTTTTTGTTCTTAATATTTTAGCGGATTAGATCTTTTTTCTAGAGATCCAACGTTGACAAGCAACAGGATCTTCGTCGACGGTTTTTGCAGTAAATTTCTTTAGCAAAAATGAAGTATGAAAACCTTACACGGCTACACGTTTTTTTTTTTTCTATTTTGTCCCTTTACAAGCAATTTATTTGTAAACGTCAAGTTACACAGTTCATAAGGAAATGTACCGAATATTATTCAATTTTTTCTCCAAAAATGCGGCACTTATTTGAGGGCGACGCTTAAAACCATAGTGATACCGTAAAATTCCGAAAATAAGCCCCTCCATGTATAAGCCCCTCCAAATCTAAGCCCCCAAAACCGGTAACGCAAAAAACCCTCCGTTAAACCACCCCTCCAAATATAAGCAAGCCCCCCGGGGGCTTGTACTCGGAAAATTGTCCTCAAATACAATGTAAAACAAAACAGAAACGGTAAATTTACTTCCAACTATAAGGCTAGCCCAATCGATTTTTGAAACGCAAATTTCCCTCCGTAGATAAGCCCCTCCGAATATAAGCCCCTCAGAAAGGGCCTTTGAAAAATATAAGCCCCGGGGCTTATTTTTGGAATTTTGCGGTACCTCTTAGTATCGTATTAACGCGAATAAGCGCCGCGGCGCTTACTAAATCCCCCCAAATGCGGCGCTTAATTAGGAATTACTGTAATTAGCAATTGCAACTTAAGAGTTTATTACATTTAGGACAAAATGTTATTACATTTAGGACTTTATTACATTTAGGACAAAATGTTATTACTTTTAGGCTTTCATTACATTTAGGGTCGTTTATTAATTTTAATTTTATTACAATCTATGGATTAAAAACCAAAGGATGAACTGTAAAGGAGTCCTAGACCCCATATAAAAACAGATCACCTAAAAATATATAGAAACACAATAAAACAATAGTTTCAGAAAATACAGAAATATAAAAGCTACTTAAAAATCACTGAAAAATTTCCTAACTCTGGACTTAAAAATATTTACATTATCAGAAACACGAATGTCTAACGGCAGTTATATTGATTCCACTGGTCAGTAATTCTATGGAAAAAACTGTACTTCAAGACATTAGTTCTGACATATTTCTTCTTTAAAGTTAAAGAGTCCTTAGCCCGAAGTGAGAAGCGGTCAGCTTCTGAGTGGAAATCTATAATTTTATTGATGTCAATATCAATGTTGCCATTAAGTACTTTATATAAGAAAGTCACGTCAGCCAGTGATCTTCTCTTCTCCCGTGACATGAGGTTTAACTTCTTCAAACGAATGTCATAGGGATCATCACTTTTTAAGATAAGTTTAGTCGCTCTTCTCTGTACTCTTTCCAGCTTATCAGTATTTCTCTTTGTATATGGGGACCACACCACTGAACAATATTCCAAATTTGAGCGGACCAATGAGCAGTAAAGAGTACGCAAAGTCTTAAGGTCATCCAGGCCTTCTACAAGTTCTCTTAATCAGACCGAGCATTCTGTTAGCCTTGGATACTATGTAATCTATATGTGGGTTCCATGATAAGTGATGATTTGTAATAATGCAAGTCTTTAAACTCTTTAACTTCTTCCAGTTCAGAGTTTTCCAGGAAAAAACTAGAAGTGAGTGGTTGAATCTTCTTAGTAATTTTCATAATTTTGTATTTCTTGACATTGAAGTTCATGAAATTCCGAACACTCCATTGATGCAGACTATCCAGTTCCTGTTGAAACAATTCAAGATCACCAGCCGTGTCAATGATTCTAGAACATTTACAGTCATCAGCATAAAGGGTAATAGTACTGCCAGGAAGTACTTCTTCACGAAGGTAACTAATAAATATAACAAAAAAAAAACCCTAATAAAGAGCCCTGGGGAACTCCAGATGAGACATCGGACCAGGAAGAGGTTTTATTATATACATACTGAGAAATACTCACCAAAAAGCTATGTCGTAAATTTTCGTACGCAAATTAGTTATAGCCAATCAGAGGAGCGAACGATGGTTTTCACACGTGAAAAAAACGATACGTCCAATCAGACTCGCGAACGATGTTTTTTCACGTGTGAGAAAAATGATACGTCCAATCAGAAGCCACAGAGGTGTAGGAGTTTCGCGCCAAAATTCCCGCCTTTTATTGCAGCTTGCAGCGCCGCTTCGCACACATTTATCAACGAGAAAAGTTTTACTCAAGGAGTTTTTCTCGCTAAAAAAGTGAAAAACATTTCGGAAATGGAGTGGAATAGTTTCGTTTGTTTCACTGTCGATAAAAAAATACGGTAGAGAGCCGGTGAAACAACAGCGGAAAGGGATAAACAGAACGAGACGTAAGCTTTTGTTGTGCTTTTTGTCGGAGCTACTTTGCCTTTCATTTAAGCTTAAGCTTATATTGAAACCGGCCATTTTACTTAAATTCACTCATTTTCAATTGTGCATTGAGAACAAACAGTTAAGATTACTTATAGTTCTTGGATTAAACCTCATATCCTCACCGTCATTTATGTTTTTAACAAACGTTTTTACTAAAAAGCTGATACTTCGTTTTCGTTGTCATTTTGCGGTAAGTGTGTAGCGGCAAATTTTAGCATTTTTGAAAGATTTAAAATAAAAAGGCCCGCAAAATGATGAATGACTCAGTATGTATATAATAAACACAATACCACATGGAAAGTGCTTTGTACGGTATTAACGCACTCGTTGTTTTTGTATCAGAAATCTTACTCGTTCGCTGCGCTCACTCGTTCGATTTCTGATACGTCAACAACTCGTGCGTAAATACCGTACGCCAGCACTTTCCATGAAGTATTCTCTATATACCATCCAGCACTACTCTCTGTCGGCGATTGCTAAAATAACTTTCACATCGTTGTAATAATGAGCCAGTGATCCCAAAGTTGCACAACTTTTGCAACAAATCTACATGGTTCACTTTGTCAAAGGCTTTGGAAAAGTCGAAAAAGACTACATCAACTTGTCTGCCTTTATCAAGGGCAGTAGCCCATTGATGATGGGTTAAAATCAGTTGAGTCTCACAGGATCTATCTTTAATGAAACCATGTTGCCACTCAGTTAAAAATGGTGAGACATGATCATAGATAGCACAATGAACAATACGTTCTAAGCACTTGGCCGAGATTGATAGATAGATAGATCTGTAGTTGGTAACAAGCTCCCTGCTATCTCCCTTATGAATTGGGGTAATATTGGCTGATTTCCATAAAGTGGGCATTTTCCCGGTTCTCAGGGATAATTACATTTAGACCTTCTACACATGACACATCACATCGTATTTGTAAACATGTACAGTGTCTGAGAAAACTACAAAAGCGGCAGGGCTTTCTATCAAGAAAAAGGCCGTACTGGTACATGATTTAATAACTGCAGAAGGAAGATCTACCTCGGCCTGCACCAGAATAAGAATTATGACATTTTTCCGTTTTAGTAAATATCGCTTGGAGCTTTTTCCTTTAATTTTCTCGCTCACATGTGTTTCCTTGTAAGATTCATTGCAGCTGTTTGCCCTCAAAGCGGAGGAGTCCTTCATTTTTGTACCCGTCTAGACAACCTTTTTCTTGTTAGTGTCTTCAAAAGTTTGTCTCCTGAAGTCTCGTCTCTTATCGATAGTTCTCTTCGCCCTTCTTTCTCAACCTTTTCCCAATAGAATACTCTTACAAACACGCTTTTAGAACTCGGGAGCGTCTGCCACGGATGTGTTGACTTGCATCCATATACAAATATGAATATACATTTAGAAGCACAGCAAAAACATCGTCAAAACATCAGAGGAGATGACAACCTTCAGGTGAATTTTCATGGTCACTGGGCGCCTGTTATACTTTGATTTGCTTTTCACAGTCTCGCGTAACGATACCCCGCAGCCCGCATGTGGCTGCCACTTCCAAAAGAACTCAAGCAATCTTCGTTGGTTGAGGAAAAGTAGAGTCTTTCTATACGTGGGGCACGGTTACTACTAACAACTTGAATGTGTAATCAGGCAATTTTCAGGGTTTTGTAAATAAGATATGGGGCAATGCAGGGAAAAAAATTCATTCACTTGACATGTTGTAGCTATAAATCTTCCCTGCATAAAAACAAGGCTTCTAAAATTAGTTTATTGCAGAGTTGTTTATTGAACGTAACGCAGGTTTAATACGTGTAAAAATTAATTAAAGTAAAATTACTGCAACATGCCGATAAACTCTAACCAAGTGTCCTTAGAGTTTTAAATTAATATCACGTGGGAGATTTATTTTCCAGGTGTATACATGCATATCGTTTAGTTAGTTCATACCCCATCAACGCTAGCTGCGTTTCATGACAAAAATAAGAAAACATGCGAATTTGACCAAAAAATATTCAATCTCAAACAAATTAAGCTTCCAATCCAAACGACCCCGTTAAAGCGTGAGCGATAAGAATATTAATAGCATGTTTTTCTTAAACGAATGATATACTCCAAACTGCACACCTGAACTAATGAGATTTCCTTTTCCTGAAGACCATTCAAATTTCTATGTGCACTACTAAGTTGAATAGAATAAAGACAAAAACTGTCGGTAAACAATTTCTAAAGATTGTATTATTTGTTAAAACGAATTTAATTTTATCCAATTCTCATTCATCTTGTCAGTGAGCTTCAGTCAACATTAGCCATCCGTCTGTGCCTGGATTCTCAATTCAATTACGTTTAACAATGCAAATGGCCGACAATCCGTTTCATATTTTCCAACCCAAAATAAGCCAGAGATTACGTCTGGTTTTAACGTCAGGCCTCACGGATAGTTTAGGTTGGCAGACTATTAAAAGAAAACGTTCTAGTGGGTATGGACTACTCAGCACCTCTATACAAGAATAGTAGTATCATAAGGCAATATTTTGTCTGTCTTACTTTATTATCATTTTCTCGTATCCCAAAAGATCCATGAGATCCGCGCATACATCTTCCACAGCTTCTATCAGGGGTTTAGGTGCGTGTCTCCAAATGTTCATAGAAATTGACGCGTTTCTTAACAAGGAATAAGCGCGTCCGTGCTGGGAATTGTTGGCTAGAGTACTTATCCACTTATCAACGTTAGATGACCAACCCAATCCTGCAAAGTTATAAAGGTCACTTGTAACATTTACCATATTCGCCACAAGATCTTCATAGCGAACAACTTTAAAGCGATCTCTAAGCCAAGATGGGCAAGAAAACAGACCAAGTCGTATATTCTGAAGTATTGGATCAAATATGTTTTGAACACTTTTCCGAAATTCGGGGCTGTTGAAGTTTTTCTTCATCCATCCTAGCTTAACCCTGGAATAGACCACTCCTCTTGGATCGCGAACCAAGTGAACCAGTTTTGCATCATATTGATTTTGTTCTTGGAAAAGTTTCTCTAAAGTCAGTATTGTTGTACTGGGTACTCTTGCAGACAAAATCTTGATCACTGTGTGATCGTAACTCTTACAAGCATTGGTAAGAAGTTGACTCGTAAACTGGGGCAACTGCCTTTTAGAGAGCGCTTTACTTTTTTTGCGGTGTATACTTCTCGAAAGCGCCGATAAAATAGTGTTGTCAACTTTGTCAAAGCCGCATTGAAAGAAGCTATCGATAACGCTGGTGGTTGTTTCTTTGTATTTTGTTGGCTGCCGTTTCATAGGGATTCGTTTCATGATAGTATATAGAGGCTCAAACCAATACATGACGTGCGGATTATTGTCGAATAAGGAACCAAGTAAGGAAGATCCACTGCGGCCTGTACTCAGTACTATGAGATTTTTTCGCCTTTTAACAAATTCTTGTTGTGGATGACTATTTTCCACGATTATACCAGCTTCTGTGTTGCTGTTGTTTGCTTTGCTGTCATGTATCTTAAAAGTTTCGTTGCTGTTTATAAGGGTTTCTCTTGCCTGAACTTCTTTCAGTTGCTCGGTTTTGAGGAACCCAATCTGCCCAATGAGTTTCACTACGCTGGTTGAACTTATTTTTGTACGCAAAAGCCAGATTGAAGTCCAGTTCGTGTTATAGATAAATATCAAAAGCAAAGCGATAATAGAAAATGACACAAAGATCTGATTAGTCTTCATCACAAAGCCTGGGAACTTTAAAGGACGCTAGTTATAGCTGCATGAATCCGTATCTGCAATAACAGAGAGAATAACAATGCAAGTGTTAGAAAGCCTGTCTGATTTTGGAGCTGAGGGGTGAGTTAATCGAGATTGACTGTCTAAGGGTTACGTTTGCATTTTTATTTGAGCCTCAGGACACATTTACAAAGCTGTGTTATTGTCCCCGCAGGGATTTCGCCCAGAGGCGAAATCCTGAGGAGGCACTCTAGTAACTCGCGCGTATATTAAGGACAGTACTTACAGTTCAAATATACAGTCAGTATACTAGAAAAATCTCGATTTGCTCGAACAGGGGCCGCGAGGAATCGGTAGGTAATGATGACGTTTCTATTGTTTGTGCCCGCAAGTACGAAATGGTTAGGATGACGTAAAGACAGAAAATTCCGAAGGGTCCGCTCAGGTAGATTTTGTGACATTTATTGTGCAGTCATACTTCGCTACTCTTTTGCGTTACGCAGTAACATTCTGTGGAGCAGTTGTTTTGAAAGTTATGGGCCAAAAGACAATCGTTAAGCGCAGATGAGGTCATAAGGTGCCTTTAACTGTGTATATATAAACACTTGGAAGTTTGCCAGACACGAGTTCACAAATCTTTGATTTATATTGGAAACCTTGTCAGACACTCTTTCTCTCTCTTTGACCGGAATAAGACTCAGCCCCAAACAAGAAAGACGAGTGAATAACGGCTAGCTTATCACTAGCAGATTGAAGGACAATTACATGAATTCGCCGACAATCAAATTCTGTGCTGACTTTTTCCCTGCTCACAGATGTCTTTGCGTTATAAAGTTTCAAATAAGACTAGAATGTGCGAGCGTGAATCGATCAAACGTCCTTTTAATTTCTAAGGATTACTTTCCGGGAAATAAAATGAACTGAATGTAAAAAGTGAAAGAGAAATAGCGAAAAATTCAACTTCTAATTATATCTTTTCGTATGGTTTAGGATAAACTATTCTCGAACCTGAGAATGTTTTCATCAAAGCTGTGTAAATCGAGCTGAAACGGTGCATGGAACCTTGCGTTTACTGTATTTATCTCACCCATTGTATGGAATATGTGTGAAAATCTTCATTATGAATCGGTATATTTCAAAAAGCTACACAACCAGCAAGAATACTATTGACCGACAATATACGGAACGGGGGCAGGTGTAGTGTCAACCATTACTAGTTATATAAACACCACTGAAATACCAGGTGAGCTTTCGCGCGAAAACTTGATATCTTCACATGTGAAAATATCACCGTTGCTATGGCTACATGATAAATCGCGCCTTTCACACCAGCAATTAAAGCGAAATGGTTTGGTATTTCATTGGCGTTTATATAATAAATAGAACCTTACATGACCGCTTGGAGATACAAAATTTCTCTTCAAAATTTCTTCTTCTCTTCATAATTTGTGTGTTCGCTGCGCTCACTCGTGAAATATTTTTCAACACTCGAACAGAAATTTCGTATCTCCGCGCAGCCATGAAATATCCTCTATTTATTATATAGACACGAGTGTTTTACTGGAAAATATACCACTCGTAAAATTCATAAAAACTACACCCGGGACCCGAGTGGTTTATTTTCCATAATCTCACACGTGAGTTTATCGATGACGTAATTTCGGTAGTTTCCCTCCAAAATTTGTAGGCGTCTTGCGTCCTTTGAACTTTAATTATACATTTCTCAAAGCTTTACTTACATTTTGTCATTGTAGAGCCCTATTCAGCTCAGTGTTGTTTCTCAAGATTATTGTACACAATGTCTTATGTTGCTGTATGTAATGTAAATTTGAGCCGTCACAATTACTTTTTGGCGAATAAAAATTTATTATTTTATCGATGTCTTTTTGTCTATGTATTAAAAAAAACATTGCACGGCGGCTTAAAGATATGAATTTTATTTTCGAGTGGCAAAACAATATTTTACGAACGACCGCAGCGCCTTTCACACCAGCAATTAAAGCGAAATGGCTTGATATTTCATTGGCGTCTATATAATAAATAGAACCTTACATGGCCGCTTGGAGATACAAGATTTCTCTTCAAAATTTCTTCTTCTCTTCATAATTTGTGTGTTCGCTGCGCTCACTCGTGAAATATTTTTCAACACTCGAAGAGAAATTTCGTATCTCCGCGCAGCCACGAAATATCCTCTATTTATACAGTACCGTGTGCTATTAATTTTTTGCTGGAGTTAACAACCTTTTGTGTATAAGCAATTTTTTGTGTTTCGCGGAAACTAAGTGATCGGTAAAGCAGGCTTATTGCTGTAAGATTTTTTACGTGTTGTTTTTTAGTACATAACTATTAAAAAAGGTTAAAACCATTATAAATTGCAAAATATCATTTGCGTTCTTGAGACGGTAGTGTTAATCACGCTGGACTGACTAATTTACATCTTTGATTTCTGCGGATCTGATTTATGCTTAAGGGCGACAGCAAGATTTTTTCCTTTATTTCATGCCCGTGACATGACAAGTAGTATGTATATTCCTATTCACGTTTTTTCCGGTGATTTTCGGTTTTTTTTTTGTCAGTACTTACTAACATGACCCTTTGTTCTTGAATTTTAAACTAAGCCGAGTATAATAAATGATATCTTATATGAATTGGAATATATGAAATAAATCATATTTTTAACTGGGGCTAAAGATATGAAAGTGAACATGATCTTCGCAATCGAATGAACAACTAGCCTGCGCGCAGACGAAATTAAACTCTGGTTAACTCCGTCTGCGAAACAGCGCCGAAATCCTTGTTCTGGACTTCCAGCTGTGTACCCAGATTTGAGTACGCGCCACGATTGGCCAGTTAAAAAAGGCCTTTGTTTTGTTTGTCGTGATCGCCAATCAGGTTGAAGGGGAATTCGAAACGCACTTCCGGTAATTCGTTGAGTCCGTTGGGGGTCCAGAACAAGGATCTCCGCGCTGCTTCGCAGACGGTACTAATCAGAGTTTAGTTATCGGCTGCACGCAGGCTAATGAACAACCTGAGCAGTTGCAAAAGGAACCTGGTAAAAGCTTGAATTTTATCAGGTTCTTTTTCAACCGCTTACAGTGAGGTACGAAATTTTTGCGATTAGGACAGATTGGTTTTTCTCGATGGAATTAATTTTTGCGATTTTCAGTAAGTATCCAGTACCCAGCATTGATAATATTTTCGATTTCGTTAACAATGTGCAACAGAAATACATATTTTCAAACGGTACTATGGTATGCGTAACCTATAACCAGTAATTCATTGTATACCGTTTTGAAGAGAGATGATTTCCTAGAAAAGTATTTTTGTGTAGCGAATTTAAGTTAGAGAATCTTCACTCTGGAGTAAATATTTGCGGGAAAAATGTTTGCGGTATTTTTTATTTGCGGGAACTTATTTTTGCGGAAAAATCGCAAAAATAGCAAAAATTAGAACCCGCAAAAATGTCTTGCCAAGAGGTAGGTTGTTCATTCTAGACATTCTGCTGCGAAGATCATGTTCACTTTGATATCTTATATGTTATAAGATTTACAAAGCTCAAAGCAAACTAATACCGCCAGTCTTTTTCACTATTATTAAACCACCGAAAAAGGAAACCAAACAAGGAAAGCTAGAATACCCACAAGTTTCATAACAAATCATTTCGGGAATTGAAAGCCACGGCGTTTGCCAAATGAAACGTTCAAGCACGCATGCTAGTACATAAAGCTAGTAGGAATTGAAGGATGTGAACTGGACATTTAAGAGGCAACGGGCTGGCCGATCTTTCCAAATTTGAATTAGCAATTTTAGCTTAATAGCTCAAACACTGTTGATTATTTTACATTCCATCTTGGAGAACCGACAAGTGCTGTTATTCTAACTATTAGCAAGTGTACTTTTTTAAATTAAAACGTGGCTTTCTTGGACACCCAAAACCTGCAGTCCACATATATGCGCAATTAAGTAAAACTGTAAACAAGATCTAAATAATCAATGCCGGAACTGAATGACACCTGTTCGGCCTAAAAATGTAAAATCTAATATTGCTAAACAAACCGCATTTCTTTGCATCAAAGTTTCAAAGAATACATATCATGAAGTTTTGATGTTACACTCTTTTTTTCTATAAGAATATATTTTATAAGAACATCGAGGCTGAAATTTGCGAAATATTAAGAATATTTTAAGAATAAAGCCAAGGCTGAGATTTTGAAAGGGATAGATATAATTTTGTGTGTTGAAACATCTGTTAATACAATACAATTTTATGTTTTTAACTTAACCGTATAAAATTATTCCTTTCTCTGAACGGCGAAACTAGCCAACAAAACGAAAAAACCTGCACTAGTTATAGCAAAATGTTCAACGTTAATGACAGTTCGATGAACGGTACACTCCATGTAATATTTAACAATTATTCCACGAGTGCGCGTTGGATATGAGATGATAGATAGCCAACGAGGCGCATAGCGCCGAGTTGGCTATAATCATTTCATATCCAACAAGCCCGAGTGGAATAATTGTTTTATTAAAAACGCCCACAAAATCTCGTTGTATTGCCCCGACTAGAACAAACCGGAAAAGACAAGGGACTTCCGCTATTGAGATGTCACACGTCTATCAAAACTGTCAACGCGCGAACGGACTCGCCTAGACTGCATGAATGAAAAATCAAAACATTGTAGCGATGAACATTAGTT